ATAATATGAATGCTTTTTTTCTTTTTATATATTTCCAAACAACCGCTCTAAAGAATTAATATGTAAAAAAGGTTGCCCACCACTGGATATGAAGCAGTCACGTTGTACAGTCACTGATTGGTTAACTGGGCACAGAGTACTGGAGTTTTGAACTGTGTGGTTAGGAGAGTAAGGGCCCAGGTTAACTAGGTGTGCAGAACATGTATTTGTTTTTACATAGGTTTACAGATGTTTTTAATAGGATGGAACAATAGAAATTATTACATCAGTTTGTCAGATTTTATTTCCATATAGAATTCAAATTAAGTCAGAGAATGAATAAAGTTCAGGAATTCAGTAAAAATATTTATCAACAAAGCCTTTGTCTTATTATCTGATCACAATCATACTTTGCTAGCAAAAAACTAAAACCCAGACCAAGTGACACCAACAAAAAAAACTCATTAAAAGGGAATAGAAGGTTTCTATGGCCTCACAATAACTCACTGAAGTCAGGAGTACTAGGGAAGGAGACATGAACAGATGTAGTGTGGGATTCAAGGGCAGTGGAAGTTTTCTGTATAATACTATCATGGTGGATATGTGACATTATTCACTGGCCCAATTACAAAATGTACCACAAGAGATCTCTCATGTCGCCGATGAAATTTTCTTAATTATAATACTAGCTCATTAGTGAAAACAAATATACTCCATCTTCTTTGTATCTTTACATGGACTGACATAGAATATCAACCAGTTTGAAATAATAATTACTTCCCATTTTATGAGCATTAAAACACATAAAATGTTTTGGTTATACTGAAATGTATCCACCATTTTTCTGTATAAAAAATATCTATCTACCTTAATACCTTAAAAAAATCAAACACCATAGGCCGGTGTTCAATACTTTAAAAGCTCAGCTTTGTCTTCTGAATTTATCACTCTAGTTGTGCAATCTTCTGGGAAAAATCACAGGCACGAAGTCAAAGAAGAAGAGGAACTGGTAGGATACTCTCAGTTCTTTACACTGTGTTGTTCCTTCTCCTAGTCAACCAGCAAGCCATAGAAATGCTGTTGTCAAAGGCAATCTTCAATAAACTAGACCATGCAGTGACTATGTAATGTCTACTTAGAAAAAATAATGCTTCAGGATTAAACAATGTTTCTCTTGACTGGGTTTCATTGGTAAGTTCATTCATGGCAAGGGGTCCTAAACTGAGTATGTTAGAATGTATGTACATATATTCTATATCTATATTCCCATGTATCTACTCATAAATACTCTATACCTATATGTTTATATATGCATATGAACATATGCATATATTCTATGTATTCATATATAAACATTTGCATACATATTCTATATCTATATGCAGAGATGAGCAGACATATACATTAAGAGTTCAAAAAAAATAGTCAGGCAGTGGTGGCACACGCCTTTAATCCCAGCACTCGGGAGGCAGAGGCAGGTGAATCTCTTTGAGTTTAAGGCAAGCCTGGTCTACAGTGCGAGTGCCAGGATAGGCTCCAAAGCTACACAGGGAAGCCTTGTCTCGAAAAACAAAAAATTATTTCAAAAAATAATGACATGTACATAGGGATTTTAAACTTGCAAAGATGATACTTCTAGAACATCCTAAAAGTCCTCCTTTTGAATGCTGAAGAAAAATTCTTTCTGATCAGATGGTTTAAGATTATGTCTTAATCTTAATTTAATGGAAGCATCCCATCTCTGCATTTTTACAAATGTTATTAAGTTATTTTATTTGTATTTAAGGAAGGAAAAATGTATGACATTTGAGAATTTAAAGGGAAAACTGGGCAACACTTTTGAGCTTTTAAGCAGTGGGACTGAGGATTTGTTACATATTAATGGACTAAAGACATTGAGTTCTCAAGTCTTAAGTAAAAAGTTGCCTGAGATACACATCTTCTGTCCTCTTCAGCAAAGATAGGAGTCCTCACAGTAATTAAACTCTCCCCTTAGATCCCAATAAATGTAATTTATTACTATCAAGCACATTTTATTTAGTCTTTTAGTGCCAACATTTTGTAATAATTCAGTAAACAAATAAGAGACAAATTATACCCTGTGCTACAATTTTCTATTTTACAATCCTCACTTTATCTTTGTTTTCAAGTTGACACTACTTCAAAGACTGACATAGTATCATAATTGGTTTCAAATAACAGTTTGTAGCCATTTTATGATCCATTAAGTGCAGTTCAAGATGCTTGGACTATGCTGAAACTTTTCATGGCATTTATCTATCTACAAAGCTTCCTGTTCTATTCCCATATTTTATAAAAAAAAAACCACGAGGATTCCTAGGCAGGTTTTTAGTATTTTAAAATCACAGTATTTCAAAATCATCTTTTCATTATTTAATATTGTATTAATTCCACGGATTAATGTTATCTAATCAAATCATCCCAATCATTGTCACTAGACTGCTTAAATTTCCTTACATCATCATGCACATTGTATGCATCAACCAATTAAACAATAAATTCACCACTAGTAGCTTTAATATACTTGTGCCTTGCCAGGCGGTGGTGGCTCACACCTTTAATTCCAGCACTCAGGGAGCAAAGGCAGGTGATTCTCTTTGAGCAAAGGCCATCTGGTCTACTGACGGAATTCCAGGACATTCAAGGCTTCATAGGGAAACCGTTTAAAGATACCTGTGTCTTTAAATAATGTTTCTCTCTCTCTCTGTCTCTCTTTCTCTCTGTCTCTCTGTCTCTCTCTGTCTCTGTCTCTGTCTCTGTCTCTGTCTCTCTCTCTCTCTCTCTCTCTGTGTGTGTGTGTGTGTGTGTGTGTGTGTGTGTGTCTGTGTTCCTCTACCCTTGCTTGATTATAACCTTCTATATTTCTATTTTGTAGTACATTGATTTGCCTGTAGTATTCGCCATGGAAACATAATCACTTATCAATGTAATAGAATATAGTAGCTATGAAATAAGCAAATAGGTGCACATGTAATGACATGATTATAGCTCTAAGTCATAATGTCCAGAGCAAATGGCAATGCTGTCACCCTGACACAAAAGCAGTGCTGACTGGGGTATTTTGATGAGACAGATGCAGACAGATGCAAAGACCTGAGCTCTAAGAAATGGATGTGGCCTTGGAAAGGAAGAAAAGAAAGGTAATTTACTTCAAACTAAAGCCCTAATAGAAACAAGAAACACAGCAAGAAATGACCTTGTGACCAGGGAATCAGATTTTGTAAAACACAGATATGAAGAATAATGACAAGTAAGATGACAAGGGAAAACCATGGTGAAAAAGTTGTGCCCAATTCTTTAAGCAATTGACAGGTACTTTTCTTGCTTGAATAAATCAAATGATATCTTTTGATGGTACAATAGTGTATGGGAATGGGAGAAAGAGCTGATGCTAAGAGACTGGCTTGGCCCTCGTGCTAAATCTGATATACACACAGAATAGCGTGGGTGAATGAAAGTGATGAGAATTAAATATAAGTTGGAGGAGGTAGCTTCTTCTCCCAAATAATGAGTGTGGGATAGAAGAAGAAATAATTAGTGAAAACTGAAGCTTCCAAGTCTCAAAAGAATATGAAGACTTTGTACTATAAAAATAGATAAATAGAAGGGAGTGAACTAATATTTGGGTTTAACACACAGCTAATAGAATTATGTGGAAATGTAAGTACAGAAAATTATAAGAAACCAAGATTATGATTGATCTTTAAATGAAATTTTGGTAACCATGAACAAAAGATGATACCTAAATTTCTCAGACTGGATTCTTTGCCCAAGGAAATAGGGTCTAGAAAATAACTGCACCCCATGGACTGCATGAATGATGTGACAGATGGAATCTGCCCTTCAGTAAAGGTAGGTGGTTTTCCTTCTTATATTACCATGGCTTTCTTCAGAGATATCTGTGAGATCTTTTGTTCTTCAAGCCAAGGAGGAGAGATTTGTGCTGATATCAGGTTACCATTGAGTTCCTCTAAAATTTCCCAAAGAGAGACACATATCTACCACACAAAGTTGACCATCATTAAGATAACCCATTGAGGCCGGGCGGTGGTGGCACACGCCTTTAATCACAGCACTCTGGAGGCAGAGGCAGGCAGATCTCTGTGAGTTCGAGGCCAGGCTGGACCGACAGACTCCAAAACAATACAGAGAAACCTTGTCTCGTAAAAACCAAAAAAAAAAAAAGATAACCCATTGAGAAGACGGCTATTAGTGCTGTATATGTTCTGTTGAGGCTCTGAAGGTGAGTTTCTTAATATTCTGTTCTACACATTGTTCATCTACTTTTGCTATTGTAATAAGTAATGGATTTAGGCATGATTCCTACTACATACATTAGAAATGATAATGAACACTGAGCTGTATCTCTGTTTGGGGGTTCATAGCTCCTAGGACCCAAGTGACAATAAAAAAAATTATTCTAGTGTAAGTTATTCACAGTGTCCAAACTGATGCTCTGCCTTTCCTTTTAACCAAATGCTACTGTTTTGCTATACTAAAACAAAGACAGGAAAACAGCTTGAATGTTAAATGATATTTGAATGCTATTTCAGGTAATATGAGGAGAAAATTCAAGTAGTTGAGCAAGATTTCTATAGTCAAACTTTGCTGAAACAAGAAATAGAAAGCTATATTTCATGTATATTTTTGCATATCATCACAAGATGTATGGTTAGTATTAGTTTTAACCTAAATTGTTAAGCTTTGGAATAATTTCTAATTGACTACTCAACTTCATAGATGTTAAATCAATGTGGCTGCTTCATTAGTTGTATGAACAGTGGTGAGATGTGCACCATTTCATAAGATGTCTTCATATATTGTGAGCTACCCTGCCTATACATTGGGTGGCTCAGTATAATTCTACTTTTAATATTTTATAATTTGTATTTGATGAGAAATTAAGTCTTTACATAATTTCCTTTAACAAACTTGTGTTTATTTGAAGATAAATTTAAATTAGGAGAAGATGTAGAAAAATAGACTTAATTCATACTCACTGTGATAATGTTGCTGGCAGAGAACGTCTAATAATTGAATGAACTTGTCTGTAAACGTCCAGTTTAGACATGCATCGGCAGGAAGTATGATTGGCAAAACTGATTGTGACTGGTTTGGGGCCTTGAGAGAGAGGCACTGTAATTTCAAACAACTACAAAGGGACAAAAAGAAGAAAAATATTATATAGATGTTACCGAGGACTTCTATGGTAAATGTTGGAGTCCAAAGAATGAATGCGATTAACTTGTTATGACTTGGTACTGCATAACATAGGCAGAGTGCTAATGTTTTTCAAACGATAACAAATAAAAGGTGGTTTGCTCCTACATAGTATCTTCCATCAGAATAAAAATATTTTGGATGCTTACATCAAATCGTTAGCTATGGATCATATTAAAAGTATGATGACCAACTAATGATATAGAACAGAGCAGTGACAGACCAGTGTGTTCAAGGAAAAGGAATTGTTTGAGTCCCAGATTACTCAGTATCAAGAGATTTAAAATGCAACACAGATTATCGGTAGTAAATATCTTTCTGATTTAAGAGCAGAGTTACTGGCCACACTGTCTCGAAAGGCTTCATTAAGTCCTATCTTGTGTAAACCAAATCCACAGACATAAATTAAAGTTATAAAACTAATTTTTACTCCAAATGAAATTTCTTCTTGAAAGTTTTACACTTCTCAGATCTCAAGAACTTACAACATTTAAAATAAAAACAAGCAACTCATTATTTTCACAAACAAAGCTGTGTTCTTGCAAATCTTGATAGACCTTATAAAAAGGAGCTGAAAATAAAGTAGTACATTTTACATGCTGTTGGACTACAATCTGAAGATGAGGTGTAACTAAGGTGTTTTCTGCATTCCTAGTTTATGGAGAACTATAGGTCTCAAAATGGCGGGGGTGAGGTGGGGATGGGCACATATAGACTAAGTGGATTTCAATTCACTGAGGATCAAAAGTCAACTTATTACTAGACAGAATGGTAAAAGTGAAACCCTACACAATGACTGCTTCTTTGTAAGATCTATTTACAGTAAAACAGTGACAGTTGAAACCTGCATTATTCTTCAATCTGAGAAGTGCTCCTCAGAGCTGTGGAACTGCTCTCAGTTCCCTACCTGTAATTTCATACCATCACTTAACAATTGTTTACAATGGTGAGGGGTTGAAATACATTTGACAGTTTTGGTCACATACTGGGAAGACCTTTTCATTGAAATTTAAAGAAAGAAATATAATTATTTATGACATCGGGGGGACCTGAATGAAGACCATGTAATGTGAAATAAACCAGGGCCAGAAATACTGTTACTATGTGGTCCCAAATGTATATGGAAAACAAAGTAACTGATGTTATTAAAATTAAGAGTAGAAATGTGGTTTCCAAAAAACAGAGAAGAATTATATAGGACAAGCTACAGTTGGAAAGGAGTAAGAAACTCTGGGAAACCATTTCACAGTGAGGGACCACTTACAGTGATTGTGTATTGCATATTTCAAAAAGCCAGAAGTATTTTCAGTATTTTTGCAGAAGTACCTTATAAATATTTGAATAAATAGGCTTTTAACCTGATTACACAATTTATACATGTTTAAACAACATGTAGTACACCATCAATATGAAATTCTGTGTTTTTAATGTATACATTAAAATAAACTTACACTGATGAAAAAGGACTACCTAAATTATATGATGCACATTTTATTTATTTGAAGGGTACTGACATATACATTCAACAAATTACCTGCTTTCTAGCAAAACATAACATGTTCATAAATGATTATATCTAGGTAGGATATTTTTCTTAGCTTGCACATTTAAAAAAATATGGGTTTGAAAAGTAGTAAGCTTTTCCTAAATAAATATTTTTATTTAATAATCAGTTAATAATATAATGAATGATGTGTTACTTCACGGAATTCTTATGAAAATTATATAACATAGTGTACATGAATATGATTATGTATATAGTTTGTTATAGAGATGTTAGTTATTATTTGCATAAATTTGCAAGGCTATGTGTTTTCCAAAATACTATATGTTTTTCATAGAAAATATGTGATCTCGACATGACCAGAATTATGATTTTCAGCAATTCTTCTCTGAATATGCATTTTTTTATGCTGCTGGCCAGAAACTTTTTGCTTGATAAAATGATGTAATGGCAGACATTGCTTATTTACAGACAGCTGTGATTTTGTAGGTCTACATAAGGTACAACTTCGCTGTTTTTTAGGACTTGCACTAAGCCTACAATAACAGCAAGCAGTAAAGAAGATGCATAGGTTCTGCATAAAAAGAGGAATTTTAATGTATTTATAAATTATTTCTTTAATCTTTGTGACACTGGGGACAGAACCTGGGCTATTGCAAATGATCTAAACTGAGCTGTGCTTCAGTTCTTAACATTTTTAAGTTATATATGGTTTTATCTACATATTTTAATGTATCTTACATTCTAAAATGGTGCCAATGACAGCAATAATAAAGGTGTAATAATGATTATGGAATAAACAGTTAAATATTCGTGTCTAGAGCTATAGGAGAGCTTTGTAAGAGTTGTCAGTATCAAAGTTGTCACTAAAATAGCGGGCATCACTGTGATATGCAGTAAGATCACTGGGAATGAAAAGATACAACAATAGAAACTTGGGGACAGGAGCATTTACAGAGGAAGGCAGAGAAACATAAATGTCTTGTGAAAAGACAGACTACTGAGGGGGAAAGCCAGGAGGTAATACGCAATGGAAGCTGAGCCAAAGAAAGACAAAAGAACTTGAAAAGGGTGCCCGTGGTTAGGTGTTAGGCAAATATCTCCTAACCAAAGTGGTAGGGACTTGGGTAGAGACTAGGAATACCATACCACAAGTAGCTCTGCCAGATGTAAGAGAGGCGCAGCAAGGGGAACTAGGGGACAAGAAGAGAAACTAGCATGACTGGAAAAGGACTCAGAGGTGCCACACCACTGGGGAATCTGTCGTTACAGGTTTCCCATTGCAAGTCTTGACATTGCCTTACAAGATGAGGCAGCACAGACTCCAACGGTGATGACAAATACATCTTTGGAGTTAATTAGCTATGCTGAAGGGTTGAAGTGCCCCTGACCCCAAGCCTTGGCATCAGCATCTCTACCCATAAGTTGCTGCCACTCCAAGTCCCATGAACCCTGTTACCCAGGTGTGGAAAGGGGCCAGATGCCACAATGGGCAGCCTCAGTGGTCATGGAGCCATTGTTAGAACCATGTAGAAAATATTCACTATCAGGTTCTCTCACACGTATGGTTTGTATTTAGTAGCAAGAACCTTGAAGAATGTCCTGTTCAGATGAAGGACAGTCAAACCGTGTATTAACAAGCTTATTCTTAGAAACATCAACATGGCTGTAAGTTTTTGAAGGTAGGAAGAGGTGTGTGGATGAGTAGATAAGGGATGATGTCACAGGTCAAAAGTCTTAAAATCAGGATGCCGTCCAGAGCTGCTTCTGCCATAAGCTGAAGAATGTTAATAAGCACCGCAGCTACAGTGCTTTGGGGTTACCCAAACCAAGGAAAACAAAACTCACAATTAATGTTGTCACATTTCACTGTTGCTAAGTAGGCAACGGGGAAGTTGAACTAAGTTCATGTGACCTACAGTGACAAATAGGCTGAAAGTCAAAAACTTTTCTTCCAAAGCATTTGACAAGTTTTCTGAGGAACATTCTTCATTCTATAGTTGATTATGCCAGTGATAGGTTAAGGATCCAAAGAAAAATTTGATTAATATGATGGGTAGAAGAATTCTCAATACTTAAATTTTATTCATTTATCAACTTCAAAAACATGGCCAATTATATATGTGTACTAAGGCTAACTGTACATAGGCCAGTTTTTGCTGTATACTCAAAAGGTTTCTCAATACAGTTTCCTTCTATGCATGTATGCATATGTCGATGGAAATATTTCCTAAATTTTTAATTATTGTAAATGCTCCTATTTGCATGTTAACTTGTGACTTTTCATGTATGACTTAAAGCCCAAAGAGGACATCAGATCCCACTGGTAGTGAGTGACCATGTCATACTGGGATTTGAACTCAGAAAGAGGAGTGGGGAGAAGGCAGTCAAGATAAATGTAAATCTTTGTTAAATTGATTCTAATGTTTATTTTTAAATTTCTGTTCATTAACTATTTTTCTCTGTTCAAACTATCAATAATTATTTATTGAGTATCTATAAAGCGCAATGGTCCTTGTTGGAATTCCAGGATGATAGTTGTCAAAATGATGTTTGTCCTCATTATCAGTAAGAGTGATTGGCAGCACACATGTGTACATGTACTGATGCACACACACACACAGACATACACACACACACACACACACACACATACACACACACACACGCACATGAGCTTGTACACACACCAACACAACACAGCGATATATAACCTCGGAGAATTTTAAGGTACCTCATAGTTTCTAATAAATGCACTTCATAAACAAGAAACTGCCATGTAACCGTCATGTGAAGACTTTTCTGGACATTATGTGAAATCTGAACTGTTAACTACAATCTTCTGTCAGAAGAGTCATGATCTATATAAACATAATTGATATTTGAAATAGTAAGCGGATTCTATCCACTTTAATACTGAAGTATGCTTTAATACTATTCTTACACTGTTGTCAGGCTAATTTGTGTTTTAAATGCTATGCACAGTAGCATTTTTTATTCACTTGAAGTCCAAAGTACAAAATTTAGACATGGTATGCAGAATTAAACTATGGTTCATATTTAGTGTATCTACTCAGTGGTAAAAGATAGCATAATGCTAAGAAGAATATATTTCCAGAACAACATATAATATCAATGTGCATTTGATTTAATATTTAAGTGGAAAAGTATTCTTTAAGGACAATGATGTATATGTTTACATGCTTCATTTTGGCTTTGGGATACATTTAAAAAGGCTTACATATAAAATGCCTTTTTAAAGTCTGTAAAGGAAATAACATCTGATTTTATAATCTGTCATTGTCTGCAAAGTAAGGGGAAACGGGAAATATTTCTGAGCTTAGGTTCCCTGTTGTTATCTAGTGGCATTCTTTAATACGAATATGTAATGGTCAACTCTCACCAACAATAATGTATTTCAAATAAAG